GGGGCTCGAAAACACATTCAAGTGCTGAGAACTTACTGTAACTTCAATGCGAGCCCCACTCTTAGGTGTATAGCAGCAAAAATAACTTCACGGCGCGTATATAGTGGTAATTGCCTCGATCTGTACTTAATTAGAATTATGGACTGATTGTATAATAGATTATCATTTAAAATATAGACATTTGTTGAATACCTGTAATGAGTGCCACGTGTGAGACCTGAACACAGGCCCAACCGAATTGAAATATAACAATAAATACAGAATAATACGAAAATTTAACCCAAAAGTCGCTTTCATCGCAAACAAAACACGAATTAAATATGAAGGGAAAACTCACTAAACAAATATTGAAATATATTAATTAATTACGAATATTATTAAATAAAAATATTAATAAATACATGAAACACAAATAGTGCCGATTAAATGCCATATTTTTCTTCTCCCATAACGACATACAAAGAAATCAAAGTTTTTGTCCGAACCGTAGCCTATGAGAGGGGTGGAGATCGCGTCCGCCACTTGACCTGTACTCCAATTCATTCATATAATCATTAGTTAAGTATTTTAATTATCGCTTATTTTAAAGCATAATAATATGCTAACATAATAATTATTTTGTTTGCAAATACATATGATTTATAAAATAGTAAAACAAAAAATGTGATAATATATACCGAGTAGAAGAAGCATTCCGGCGGTTCTGTCATTGAAATTGAGTTTAAAATAGAGGAGAGTGTATGAGAACCAAACAGAAGCGCATAAATCATTGTAAATGTGACCAAAACTATAAAATATACGAGTTTTATAGCTTAATTCATTTAGTATAGAGTAATCGATATTTGATTTCTTTTTTGTTTCTTTCATTTTTAATTAAAATATTAGAGAAAATTCAAAATTCATGTCATTTACTTGTAATTCAATTATAATTTGTGCTCTTTTATAATAAGCGCTTAATTGAGTTATTCAACCACTTTTGAACATTGTATTAATCGGTTTTGATAATTGCTGTCATCGTTAAGCATATATTAGATACCAAATCAATCTATTATTACACTTTTAGCACTCAAACTAAAGCAAAACCATGTTTTTTGAAGTCTTAATAGTTTGAATGGTGGGAATTGTCTGCCAATTGATACCTATTATTTGAATACATATCTTGAAATGTATGGTTAAAATGTATTTTCGGTTTATATCTAACAACTTAATTGTTTAATAATTATAAAGTAAATGTTGATTATAGGCACAGATGTGCTCAAACTCGAGAGCAAAGTTTAGTAGTATCTTTAAACTTGTTATAAAAATAATTATTTATCGGCTATCATCTTATCATTGTACATTTACCTTACTCAATTGAATATGCAATGAATATTTAATTTTTTAAGTAGTCTAGCCTGTAATTAAAACTTAGATATGAGGTTCATTTTAAATTTTATAAATATTTTTTAGATAAAATTCCTGTAAAATGTTGTCCAATAAAAGTAAAGTAAATTAAAGTAAACTATTGACTTGCACATTAATTACTTATAATACTTTGTGCTATGCGAAAACGTGATATAATGGTGTGATGCCAAAAATCTAGTCAAAATATAAAGTAGTAATTATAATAAATACGATTTGGTTTGCTTTTAAAGTAAACATTAGTTTAGTTTTGTTTGTTTTATAAAATCATTACACCATTTATATAATGTATAATTCATGGAATAATTTCCAATTCTGTCACTAAATGCAAATACTATTTAGTTATTAAATTTTGACATTAAAATACAATTATATAATTGAAATCTCGATTTTGTCATTAAATTAAAAAACACTAATAATGTATTGAATATTTAATTGTAATGCATTTATAATAATTAAAAAATTAATTCAAATGTTTACAGAGATTGCCTTCAAATTTATCTCGATTTAATTATGAGATAGGTACAAATATTTATTAATTAGCAATTAATAATGAATCTAATTTGGATTTCTTTATTTATCTTGATTGTAGTTATAATAAGAAGTAAAATATTTATTAATTAACAATTTATAATGAATGCAATTAAAATTTCCTTGTTCAATTTAATATAGACCTATTTTGATTGACAGGAACTCACATAAAGCTAATAAATATGTATCAAATGAAAACTAAATAACATTTTAAGCAATAATCGATCAGTTATTTATAGTTGCCATTAGAAGAGTACTAAATCCTTACATTTCATTTATTCTGTACTTACTATTAATAATTAGATAAAATAAATCAATCCTAACATAACTAACTTATTAGTGGTTAGTAACTGATCAACACTTTATGTGACACTAATTACAAGTGTTTAATAAAATATTGACAAATTGTATGATTTATTAGTTATATGGATATTAATAAGTGGATAAAAAAGTGCTTAAATCTTAGGGACAACTAAAATATTTTAAAAGAATAATAGATAAGATTAACTGAAGATTAATTGAAGATTATAATGTAATTCAATGTCATTGAGAGAATCAATCAAATATATAAAGTTTGGTTATATAAAGTAATCCCAATCAACATGTAATGCGATCCTTATTTTGCTATTTTATTACATTGAGTGATGAAATGAATTTCAATTAAGTAAACAATTTTCATACTTAAGAAATCAATTTTAGGGTTAATATAATATACGACTGGAAAGTTCCAAAAAGCAATAAAAACAAACATCTAGTTTAATGAACAGAATATATGATTTACCTAATATATAATGCAAAGCCCTGTGGTTTGCCTTGAGTTGAATTACTAAAAAACTAGTTAACCAGCAGTTCATACGATACCTCAATACCAGATACCACTCTCTCTATTGAGGCATAATTATGACAATAACAACAAGAGTCCTATGATTTTCATTATAATTCTGGTTTTACGTATATATGAGGTCTGAGAAAAGTAATAGCAAAAGTAATTTTATGGTTGCCTAATAATAATGATATAATAAATGCAAACTTTTCCTCCATTAGACGCACTTTCACTCCATTTTGTAGTCAATCAGCAAAATATCGTAAGATTTTTAAACATATAGTTATAAATACAGTGTATTTAATTGTATCCAAATTTGATAGCCGTAGTAGAAAAAGTGGTGCAAAAACAATGTTGAATGCATTGAAAGATGTGATAAATAAGGTATTCGTGCAGTTTATGCCACCTCTGCCGCGAAAGTCCTATACATACGAAACGGACGACATATCCAGTAATTTTACGATACGTCTAAAACACGGCACCGAATGGTTTCACTGTCACAGATATCCGCAAAAGTTTGAGGCCTTCTTCATCGACTCCAAGAGTGGCAACAAAATCGCCTGCCTTTACGTCAAGACATGCGAGAAACCCAAGTATACCATTCTGTTCAGTCACGGCGGGACAGTCGACTTGGGCAATGTCTGCAACTTTTACTATACGTTAGGCACTCGTCTTAATTGCAATATATTTAGTTACGACTACTCGGGCTTCGGTGAAAGCAGCGGCTCGTTGTCCGAGCGGGCCGTGTATGCGGACGCCGAGGCGGCGTGGGATGTGCTGCTCACCAAATATGGCGCAACACCTGATAAGATTGTATTATACGGCCAGAGTCTGGGCACAGCTCCCAGCGTATACTTAAGCAAAAAACATCGCGTCCGCGGAGTTATACTCCACTCACCCTTCCTATCGATCGCCCGTATATTCTTGCCGGCCATTCACGGCGACAACAGTGGCACTCGTTTTTACGATTCCTTCTCAAAGTAAGTGAAAGTTTGCAAACAATTTATGTTTAAAGTATTTAACCCTTATATGTGACCAAATAGTGTGGACAATATCGGTTCGGTTGAGTCCAAGATACTGATAATACACGGCACTCGGGATCAGATCGTGCCGATAGCACACGCGCACAAACTGCACAAACTATGCAAAAACCCGGCGC